ACTAACTATGTATGGTGTCAAATGGGTACTAGATTTGTTGAGGTGATACATGGGAGGGGGTTGGGAGGCAAGGTGATGATGAAGGGATTAGGAAGTACATATTTGTAGTTACAAAATAGTCATGAGGATGTAAAGTAAAGCATAGGGAATATAGTCAATGATAGGGCAATTACTAAGTATAGTGCCAGATAGGTACTAGACTAGTCAGGGGGATCATTTCTTAAATTATATAAATGTCTAACCTCTATGCTATGCACCTGAAATTAATATAAAATAACACTAAATGTCAACTGCAGTTGAAAATTTTAAAAGGCAGAAAAATGTGAAAAGGAATAAGAGGTCTAAATGCTTAGGTATAAAACAAATAAATCATGGGGATATCCATATAACATAGGAAATATAGTCAATAGCATTGTGATAGCATAGTACCATGTCAGATGGTTGCTGGACTTATCATGGTGATCACTATTTTAGGTATATAAATATTGAATAGCTATGGTGTAATCCTGAAACTAATATATTGTGTGTTAGCTATATTTTTAACATAAATCTTTATAACAAAAATGCTTGCTGAGATTCAAAGAAAAGATACACTTAAAATACCAGACAATAATTATATATGAGCATGTGTCAAAAGAAGGGTTAGTGGAATTAAAGCCTTCTAAGGTCCTTGCATTATCCAGGAGAAAGATAATTTTGTTTTGATATTAGATTCTGATGAATTAAGCATGTATATTTTAATTTATTTAAAACAATAGCACTAGAAGTAAAATTTAGTAGAGGGAAAAGTGAAATAATAAAATAATTAAAGTTAATTAAAATAAAATTAATAATAAAATTTAAAGAAGGCAAAAAGGATAAAAGGAAATACAGACCATCTGAAAAGAACTCAAGATAGTTTAAGACCATCATGGGGCCGGCCGAGTGGCTCAGTTGGTTAAGAGCTCGCTCAAGAGTTTGAGCTCTGAGCAACAGCGGTTCGAGTCCAGCCCGAGCTGAGCAGCCGCTGAGCTGCCAACAGGTAGCAGGATGGCTCAGCTAAAAAAAAAAAAAAAAAAAAAGACCATCATGGAGCATACCTGCTAGTGGAAAAAACATACAACTAAGAAGTGAAATGAATGAATATGTAATTTCATGTAGCAATACATACTATGAAGGAAAATCAAATTGGGTAAAGCAGTAGGTGGTTCATAGGAGGAGGCTATTTTTAGATAAGGGTTGATCTGAGAGAAAGAGAGAGGAAGCAAGACTCCCAGGCTTTTTATCTTAAGAAGAGAGGTTGAGAAGTGGAGAAGCCAGGATGGAGACTGAGAAGAGGCAGCCTGTAAGGTGGAAGGAAAGCCCAGTGTGGTCTAGCGAGGAACCGTTGCAATAAGGAGGGCATGATAACTGTGAAACTAAGAATGCCTGGTTAATTGACTACACACATCTTTCCCAGACCTGGGAACACAGTCAGCAGCAGGCTCAGCATAAAGAAGAGCTACCCGAGTCTCAACAGGGCACGTATAAACCTACAGAGCAGAGTAGCTAAGCGCAAGGACTCTCCGAAGCCAGACTACCTGAGGTAGAATCCTGGCTCCGCCTCTTTCTAGTTGTGAGCTGTGTGATCTTGAGCACATTATTTAAGCTCTCTGTTCTTCAGTATCCCCATCTGTAGGACGGTGATAATAACAACACTTGTTTCCTCTGGTTGTGATAAAAAAACACTCAGAATATAACTGGCATAAAGTAATCACCATGTACTCATAAGTCTTTGTTAAAAGAAGAGAGAAAAATACCTAGACAGTAGTTCTCCCTTATCAGAGGGAAATACATTCCAAGGCCCCCTAGTTGATACGTACAGTAAACCACGGATAGTATGGAACCCCATATATACTATGTTTTTTTCCTATACAAAGTTTAATATCAATTAGGTACAGTAAGAAATCAACAACTAATAATAAAATACAACAATTATAACAATATGCTGTGATAAAAGTCATGTGAATGTGGCCTCTCTCTCAAAATATGTTGCTGTATTCACCCTTCTTCTTGTGATGGATGCATTGGTGGAATCATTCCATAAACAACATGGCTGTCGCCCACACTTTCTGATTATGTTGCCAGAACACAGGCAGATAACTTGTTTGGTTTGGAGGCTGTGTGGGTTCTTTGCTCTGTACGCCGCTATATCTGGCTTTATCATGTGCCCTGCAGCGTTGTAACGGAGTATCAGAATTCATCTTTCCTCCCATGTTTTATGCCCTGGTGCCTCCTTGTAATGCCTTTTCCATCTTAACTAAGCACTCATCACTGCCTGTGCCCATAATTTTTGCAGTTTGAGGTGCAACAACAAAACTAGCACAAATTTATTTTCCTTCTTCACAATTTCACAGATAGAAGATTCATTCTTACCGTCAATCTTAGCAACCTCAGCATATGATTTTTTTCATTCCTAACTCAAAAACTTTCACCCTTTCACTTAAAGGAAGGCTTTTGCAGCTTCTCTCTGGCATGCCCGAATTGCCAGCATCACTATTTTTGGGCTTTGGGGTTATTATTAAGTAAAATAAAGATTACTTGATGTTACGAATGACTTCTAGGCTCACAGTCCATGCTGCACTCTCTTTCTGCAAGTCAGGGGAACTAACCCCCAAGAGAGACTCTCAGACCCCCAGGATCTACCTGGCACTGACTGAGGCCTCTGCAGTAGCCGTGGCATGAGCAAAGAACAGGGCATGCAAGATCTTAAGTGCCTTTCAATATGTTCTTTACTCAAACATCAATCATCAACACACCAAACAGTAAAGCACACAGAGTAATACAATAATTGGGTAAAATAGAGTAATGAACCAGTCTCAAAGTCAATCCAAGTCCTGGTGGAGTGAACAAGGGTGGCTGATCTGGGGGTTTGGTCTGGCAGAGGTTTGGTCAGAGCGAAGCTGAGCAGAGCAGAGGGTTCTTGGAGCAGAGTGGCAGCGTGGTCACCTTTCAGTCGAGACCTGCAAAAGTCCTCAGTTCTTATGCAGTTCTGAGTGCCTTCCTGATGTCACCTTATCAGGGCAGCCAGCTGGTGACCCTGATGTGCTCTTATCTTCAGTAGCAGACCTTTGGAGTATAGCTGGTTACACCCAACTACCAGGGCAACCAGGCAGCTCCCTGGTTATCTTCTAAGTTCTCTGCACATATCCAAAATGGAGTTGCTTTCGCTCATTCAATATGGAGTCACTCTTGCTCACACTAAACTCATTCTAACAGCTTCCAGGAGCGCTCTACACACTTGAGCATAAGCACTGTGATACCACAACAATCTATCTTATAACCAAGATGGCGACTAAGTGACTATTGGGTGGGGAGCATGTACATGAAGATGCTAGACAAAGGGGTGATTCATGTCCTGAGCGGAATAGCTCAAGATCTCATTATGCCACTCAGAACAGCCCATAATTTAAAACTTATGATTTGTTTCCTGAATTTTCCATTTACTATTCGATTAAAAATTAAAAGAGTGAACAGAAAAATCAAGAGACATGATCATATACAGGGGCCCAATGGACTAGGCAACGAGATCTCTATCATTCATTCATATAAAAAATGTTCTGAGCCAAGCACTAAACTAGGCCCCAAGAATACAATGGTGAATGAAGACATGTGTGGTCCCAGCACTCATAGAACCTATGTCTACTAGAGACAATAGTAAATAAGAAAATAAATACATAAAAGAAGTACAGGTTGTAGTAACAAGTGGTGTGAACAGGAAAAAAAAAAAGCCTAATTACTGTGATAGAAAATGGTGGTGAGGGAAAGACAGGGCTACTTCAGTTAAGTTTTTGAGGGAAGGCCTCTCTGATATGAGTTGAGACTTGAAACATGAAGCATAAATCAAGGATGTGTATAGACTCCCAGGCAGGAAAGTCTGGTGGGTCTAGAAACTGAACACCATTGTAGCCAGAAGCACCTGGGATGAGAGGGATGATGGCTCTAGATGAGACTGGAAAAGTAGAAGGGCCTAAGATCGTTGCTGCAGGTATAAATTTAGCGAGTCCACAGGGTACAGGTAATATTGGGTCGTCGGGAAAGTCATGACATATTTTTCTGTTTTTCAATGCAAAAATGCGTCATGACTTTCCAGAGGACCCAACATTTAAAGGCATGGGGAAGCCAGTGTAAACAGGGTCATCCATAACCTCATCCAGAGGAATTCCAGCTTGGACGAGGAGAGGCTTGTAAAGGAAATTGAAAAGGTGGGGCCTATAAAGAAAGGCACATTATTTGTCATTTTTCTAAAACGGCCCCACTACAGCTTCTATCTATTTTGACAAAGTGCGTTACAATTTGGTTTTCAGATTTTTGTGTGAGTTCCGGAAATAACTGGATATACTTGTATCCTAAAAAAAAAAAATCAATTTACAATTACATAGAAAGTGATTTGCCCATCCTGACTTTAAGGTACACCAGCACGGCGCAGGATCTTTCAATCATAGCCACAGGGGGTCCCCTCTGTGTTGCTTGTGGGGTCATCCGAAAGAGTGCTAGGATTTCAACTGAGTTGCCTTTGCCTTTATCCTTAAGACCTTGCTCCTCCGCCCCTCCCCCCCTTTGAAGGTTAACTATACACCTTCTTGCACTCGCCATGTTGTAACGAAATCGAATATGCTGCCCTTGCATACAGCCTAAGGTGCAGCAACGAGCGCAGTGACCGTGACTGGCATTGTGATGCGGTTCCATTGCTTTTGGGTCCCCTGAGATTTGAACCTAGGGAGTCATGGCCTCGGGCGGCGCCGCCCCAGGTAAGTCAGCAGATGGCCAGGGCCCGGGCACTGGGCCTCGCGTCAAGTCTCAGAAAACGGGGCCCGAAAAAAATAAATGAGAATAGGAGGGAGGCAGAGGCGACCTGAGGCGGCAGCCAGATTTCGGGCACAAAACGTGCGCACATTCCTGGAGGCCCAGGGCCTGCGCCAGCCTGAGGGCGGCCAATGCGCCGCCTCCGTGCGCCCCTCGTCGGAAGGCAGCGGTTACTGCTTCCTAGGTCACGTCCCTGGGACGCTCGTCTCTGGGGTGCAAGCCAGGCGCGCGCCAGCAGGAGCCGATAACCAACAGGGGTCTAAAGCTCGGGGCTAATGACTCCTCTCGGCTCTCGCCCTGCGATCGGCTACGATTTCCTTTCGACTTTGCTCCGCTCAGTGTGTACAGTCGCGCGCAGCGCAAGGCCAAACGCCGAGATGGCGGGACTCTTCCGGCGAAGCCCGCCCCTCGACTCCACCCCGCCGGGAGCCGCGCCGCTGGGGACGCTCCCTCCGCGGGCCAGCGCTCGCAGCCTAGCCCGAGGATGTCACGGCGCCAGTAATATCCGGGACCTGGCTTCCTAGCTCCTGGGGAGGAGGGAACCGCGGCCAGCAGTCCCCACCCACGCCCTGGGCCTGGGAGGGGAAGTGGGAGGGCGCGCAGTCCTACGGCGCAGGAGCGAGTCCATTCGGGTTCCCTCCCGTGGGGGTGGAGGTGGGGGGTTTTCTATTGTGTGTGAGGTGGGCCATAGGTGCTGCCTCCCTACTTTGGACCCGTGTGCTAAGTTTGCAAAGCTTAAAAAGGCTCAGTAGTTTCCGATTCCAAATCTGCTTTCGCAAAAGAGTTTCCAGCCCCAAATTTGAATCCCTCCTCCTCTCTGAGCCAAACTGTGGGCTCGTCCAGGAGGCGGGGGCTGGGCGGGAATTGCTGGCGGGAAATTTTAAAATTCAGTTTGTCCCCAGCGGATTGGGTTCATTTTGCGCGTTTTTCTTCCCTGTGCTCGCACCTTCGCTCTCTTTCTGCTCTGCCATGCCTTGCTCTGAAGAGACCACCGTGATCTCCCCCAGCAAGCGGGCACGACCTGTGGAGGAGGGCGGCATACGGCTCCGCTTCGTCCGGCTCTCAGAGCACGCCACAGCCCCGACCAAGGGGTCTACGCGAGCCGCGGGCTACGACCTGTACAGGTTAGTGGTGACCTCCGGCCGCCCGCGTCCCCCGCGAGGGGCCGCCTTCTGTCCCCGCCATCCCTAAATCCGCAGAGAAGACCCAATTCCCGAATTTCAGAGCTCTCAGTCACGTTAACTTATATTCTGCTGCCACAGCTTGGAACATTCACTTAAAATATTACAGAAACAGACTTTTTTTTTGCATAGATGTAGTGTTGCCACCTTTGTGTTCAAAATTTTAGCTTTGCTCTTAAGCATAAATTCAGTAGGCATTTGGGCAAAGAATGTCGAATGGTAAATAACTATCAGTAAATGTTCTATGAGTCGTGATTGTTTTGCAACATTTCTTGTACCCTCTCCACGTGGAAGGTAGAGATGAATAAGGCTTTCAAGGCCTGAGCGTTATTCTGTGCTCAATAGAAACAGAAAGCCATGGTGGGAGCTTAGATGCGGAGTATGAACATACCTAAGAAGGGTTAATGAAGGCTGCTTCTGCCTTAAAGAGTTAATGAAATTTCTTCACACGCCCATATTTAAGTTAGCCCCAAGGACCGGAAGGTTCAGAAAGGGCCCGAATGTGAAAAGAAGGGATGTTGGTAATACTACCATCTCTTCATATGTACACTTTTTACCTGGACTAAAAACTTTTCCCATATTGTATTTTTTAAAAACTCAACGACAATCCTGAAGTAGATGAGTTACTTTTTATATTGTAGATGAGAGAATTTGTAAAGAGCTGAATTGATAACCCAAAGGCTTGAATGTAGTAGAAATTTTGACCCTGAATTCAGTGGGGGTTTTTTTTTTGTTGTTGTTGTTGTTTTCTCCTGGCTTACTGTGTCTAAGTCTTAGACCCATTAAGGTAGGTGGAAAGTGACATTGGAGGTAGTGGACATTTATTACATGATGAAATCCTGAGCCTTAGGGTATATTTTAAAGCATTCCAGGTCATTCTAATGTGAGAACTACTGGTCTAAGTCATAAGTACAGGAGTTAGGGGAGAAAGGAGTGAGGAATGGTATAGTAAGGGAGAAGAGAAAGAAAAAGAAAAGTGAAGTATAGACTGTTGAGGCTGAAAGGAATATAATTCAGTCCCTTAATTTTTAGGAATAAAAATAGTGATGTAGTTTGACTATACCGTGTCTGGGCACTGCTGTGAGTCTTAGGAGAGACTTTGATCTAAGGTACTGTTAAGCATCCTCATAAACACAGGTGGCTTTCTGTATACTGAACAGACATGGAAAGAACTGATCTCTTTATTAAGTTAGGGGTTAACTATTTGAAGAGAGGAAATTCCATTGAAAGGAGTAAAAGTACAGTATCGCTTTTACCAGCCTTAATTAGGTCTTCAAAGTAACTTCCAGCTCTGCTTATTGTAAAATTTCTATCAGTGAGGGGGCTACAGTAATAGCACCCAGCATTTGCTGGATGGACCCTAGAGAATCAGTTGCTCAGCAGTGTCCATCTCCAGGGCTGTTCACAGTGTCAGCTCTCTACCTCAGCCAGTGAAGTTCATGGGCACAGCTTGGTAAACTAGCAAGACCAGCGGAAAAGATGCAGCACAGCTCTGCCCCCTTATTTTGTCCACCCATTTTCCCCTTTCCTTCTGCATGTTTTCCCTAATTGCTTAGAGGATTGTTGTGAGAACAACTTGAGTTATATAAAGCAGTTACAACTGTGCCTCGGGCATAGTAAGGCATATAAGACTTAATAAATGTTAGTTTTTAGTAGTTATTATTTACCCTTTCTTGGTTCTCTCTTCCTCTTTTCATACTGTGTTACTGAAGCATACACCTTTTAAAAGTCTGCCTTTTCTGCCCCTTTCTGCTAAATAATTACCTCAATTTCCCAACCAAATTTTGTTCAGGGGAGAACACATTTATATGTTGTCACCTCTTTCAATAGAAAATTTCAAAGAGAATAACTATATCTAAATACTAGTTCTTTTTTTCCAATATCTTCCTAGTGCCTATGATTACACATTACCACCTATGGAGAAAATCGTAGTGAAAACCGACATTCAGATGGCTCTTCCTTCTGGGTGCTATGGAAGAGTAGGTAAGTGGTTTAAGACAGAGGTAACTATTTGTCATGCTCTTCCTTTGTGATGTGTTCCTTCATCTGAATTTCATTTAGGGTATAAATGAGGAAAGGGATATTGCTCAGCCTGTGTCCTGAAATGAAGTGCCACCTGTGGTGGCAAATACGGCCATTTGAAAACTTTGATTTACTACATACAGGCATATCTCGAAGATGTGGGTTCGGTTTCAAACCATAGCAATGAAGCAAATATCACAAGCAAGTCATGGATTTTTTTCAGTTTCCCAATGCATAATAAAAGTTATGTTTACACTATGTTATAGTCTATTAAGTGTGCAATAATAGCATTATATTTAAAAATGTAGGACCAGCCGAGTGGCTCAGTTGGTTAAGAGCTCGCTCAAGAGTGCGAGCTCTGAGCAACAGCGGTTTGAGTCCCGCCCGAGCTGAGCTGCCAACAGGTGGCAGGATGGCTCAGCTAAAAAATAAAATAAAATAAATAAAAAATGTACATACCTTAGTTAAATACTTTATTGCTAAAAATGTTAACCATCACCTGAGCCTTCAGCAAGTTGTAATCTTTTTGCTGGTGGAGGGTCTTACCTTCAATTTGTAAAAAATACAATATCTGTGAAGCACAGTAAAGCAAGGTGCAATAAAACGAGGTGTGCCTGTATCTGCTTTTGCCCGTATCTCTGCTATTTTTCTGATTCCTTGTTTGAGCTTTTAGGAGGCTCACATCGGCCCAAGAGGTTTTTCTCACAACCACTCACTCAGAAAAACTGAAAATATAGGTGATTTTTAACTGGCACTTTTTCCAGTGTTAACGCCAACTTGCCCTTTAAGGACCAGATTGCATATGAAGTCAGATTATTTTGTGAAGACGGTGGTGAGAATGGCTCATATTTGTTATATAAGAAAATAGACAGGCTTAGGAAAATGGATATGGCGTTTTATATCGTGAGATTAAAAATTCTAACCCTTGTTGGTCCCAGAGTATATCAGGCCACTTAGACTTTTCCCCTTTGGGTTTCCCTGCCATGGGGTGTGTTAAGGGATATTAGACTCTTCAGTGGGCTAGAGGGAAACATCTCATAGTGGGAGGAGCTAAGACAAAATGGAGTGCAGGTCAATAGGTTTGACTTTTCTGGAGTGAGTCAGTTGTCATTGGAAAGAGCTTAAAAGTTCTTTTCAAGAGCATAATTACTTTCCGACTAACTTGAGTAAATATGAAAGAACAAACCGAACTGTGCGCCCGCCCCAGGAGTGGGAGGTAGTGGCTAGACTACCACTGTCTTGTTAACCGTGAGTGTGAGAATTGCTGATACTTCAGCATTTAAAAAAAAAATGAGATGAGCTCTCTCTTTACCTCTTTTTGACAGCATTGACCACATTTTTAGTGTATTTTGGGGGGGAAAATATCAGGAGATGGAATGAAATAAAAGGGCAGGAAGGGGCAGCATTTATTGACAAAGTTTCCTGATTTAAGTTATTCTGGAATAAAATACTAGCAGTTACGATAGTTAATGGTAGGCCTGATGTGCAAGTCAGCAAGTATAAGGTATAAATTTAGCTTTTTACTTTTTCATTTTAAAAATAAAAAGGCACAGTAAGAATGAAAAGCATAGTGGAACTGAGTTTTTAACTTTAGTTTTTGGCGTTTTGCTTGATGATACTAAGTCATTTATTCTTAACCTGGTTCATTTGTTTTATACAGACGTGTCTTTTGGCATCTGAATCATGAGTAGAAGTCCCAAGTTCTAGGCTAAGCTCTGCTACTCTTTGATTAGGTTTATACCTCTCTTTATCTCTCAGCCTTCTTCCTATCTATATACATTGCAACATGCTCAGAACTCCTATCTTAAAACAAAAGCCCTCTTCCTCAGTTCCATGTTCCTGCCAGTTGCAGTCCTCCCATTGTAGCTAGACTTCTTCACAAAATTGTCTATGGTTGTACCCACTTGATCACCTCATTTCATTCCAGCAGTCCACAACTCGACCACCATAGATTCTCAGTTTGACTGAAGTTGTGTGGGACTGGCTTAAGTTGGCTTCAAATTAAACCTTGTCAAATTTTTCTAAGCTATTCTTGTCTACTTTGGTAATACAATATGATAAATATATTCTTTAATTCAGAACCTCTATGAAAGCCAAGATGAATATCAATGTTAAACACGATGAGAATAACATGCTTAAATTTGTCAAGTATATCCAACATTGTCCTTCCCCCTTTAAATAGCCAATTTCTCCTTTTTTGTTTTTTAGCTCCACGTTCTGGCTTGGCTGCAAAATATTTCATTGATGTAGGAGGTAATATATTTATGTTTTTATTCTCTAAGTATTTGTAAGTATTTACTTTGCCTTTGCTTAAGAGGTAATAATCAAATGACAAGTTTTATTTTTATCTTCAAGAAAAGGAAATGATTTTTGTTGTGTCTTGCCTTTTAGAAATTTCTATCTGAATACTAGATAATTATGATAGTTTCAAATGCTAGTTGATCTTGTCTAATTTTTAAATGAATGAAATGAATTTCATTTTACTAATAGGCTAACTAGACACTATCTGACAGATAGAATTTTTGCCTTGGTTTAGTGATAATCTGCATTTAGTCCAAAAATAAGTATTCTTAGAAGAAGGTTTGTTATTATAAGTGAAGGAAACACTTTAGTCATTATTTAAGCAATTATGTAGGTTCCAGAAAATGCAGGTCTACCTTATAAGAATTTACTGACCTCCATAAGAGAGGCGTCCATGTTTGGCAAAATATAAAAAGAATCTTTCCCTAAAGTCAGGAGAGGAAACCCTGTACTTTCCCATCTACTACATTTCTTGGCCAGCAAGTCCTCAGTGGCTCCTGTTTCTCTTATAACAAAGCCTCACTCATGTCTCCCAAAGTCAACAACTTCCTCACAGGGCCCCTTTCATGAAGGAGCCCCTTTGTTTTAAGATCTTTAACTGCCTCTTACTATTAGGAAAGTCTCACCTTCCTGATATGGCTCCCTTGCTTCGGATCTTCTCATTATTGGGGTACAGACCCCACTGATGGGGGTCCCCATGTCTTGACCCTTTATCTCCATTGATGGTGAGCGAGTGCTTCACTAACAAGAAACCTTGGCCCTCGGAGAAGTGTGTATGATAGATGCTCCGCCTCCCACCATTTTTAGAAAGCTACTTTTTAACCAATGAGGAAACTGGCTCAGAGATGAGCCTAAGCTGACATGTTAGAAACTGGCATCTCCATCCATCTGATTCCAATGCCCTGTTCTTTCCACTCCAGTTAAATGCTATGGATAACCCTGCTATCTCTCCGCCAACCAAGCACTGTGCTGAATTCCAATAGCTCCATGTTACCTGCACTGCAGGGCGCAAGCACCAGATGAGGCCTGCCCCCTGTGCTATCTACAGCCTGCCCTTAGTCTCCCCATGGTGTCACTAGGTGGTGCTGTGGGGACAGACAGGAGCTCAGAAGTAGGTCTTAGGGACTGAAGAAAGGAGCTGAGTGGTAGAGCAGTAATGGGTGATAGCCCACTCAGGCTGAGGATTGCCTGGGCTCAGTTTTGTTTGATTTTCAAAAATACTTTCAGAAGGTCAAGTATGGTAGTTTAGGACTATAACTTAAGGATATCAAAAATTGTATATATTTTTAAAGAAATTTCAAAGGGTCGTGAAAGGAACATGAGCTTTGGAGTAACAACTGGATGTGGGTTCCAGCTTTGTCACTAACTAGTTATTACTTAACTTGTCTGAGCCTGTTTCCACATCTGTAAGATGAAAATGAGTGTACCTGCCTATGAAGGTTGAGAAGATTAAATGATAATGTATAACACTGCTTGGCACATACTAGATCCTATAAATTATATTTCCTGTCCCCTAGGGGCTTCACAGATTTTTTTTTTTCAACGTGGAAACTTTTTTTTCCCACCTTTGTTACTAATTTTCATTCTGTTTAAAACAGCCCTCTGAAAAAAATTCATGTAAAAGAATTTTTTAGTTTGCCTGGTGGTTGGTGTGCTATTATTTATGTAATCACATTGTGGTGTGTTCTTGGATGCAGAGTATCTTAAAAATGTCTCTTAGGCACAAGTTTATCATAGTTGGCCACAGTTTTTATTTCAGAAGAAAGATGTTGTTAGAAATCACAGGCTGTAAATAAGGGTCAAAGGGAAAAGTTGAGTATGCAGGATTCCGTTCAGAATTCACATCTGGTAGGTGTGGATGGTTTTCACTAAAGGTTTCCAACAAATGACATGCCAGAGTCTTGACACACTAAAACTTTTGCCTGAAGTCAGTTAATCACTCTGCCAGTTCCAATGCATGATTTTTCCAGTGATAACTTCAAAATACTTGCTGCTTTCTGATGAAGAGAAAGATCCCTGATGCTTATGTCCCTTATGTAGGAAAAGACCAAGCCTTGGGCTCTTCTTGAAGGTTAAATCGCCTTTGAGTGACACATGAGCTTGGAACTACTGGATTTTTTTTATGCTGTTGACATACAAGTAAATGCTAAAAAATAAAGTTTTAATTGAGGGCTTTCTTTTCCTGCCACACATTTTAATTGACTTCACACAACTTCATTTCTTTTACTTAGCTGAAGGCTTTTCCCACGCCTGTGTGCCAAGCATAAAATCTTGGTAAGATGACCTGGCATTGCAGAATTCAAGACACCCAACCATTTGAGTTTGATAGAACAACTTTACAGATACATAACAAAGGCCTTTACAAAAAAGGGAGTGTTTTTTTATGGTACAAGATAGAATAGAGTAAAAAGAATTAATACTTGGAAGTCATGTGAAAAAGTTAAATACCCAAATAGATAAGAAAAAATCCTCATCATAAGCAATGTAGAAGAGGACAAAAAAAATGATAAACAATAAAGAGGACATGCAAGTATGCAATAAACATACAGAGGAAGGAAGTCCAGCCTCACTATAGTCATCAGAGGAATGCAAAGTAACACCGTGAGGTACCATTTTTTACTCATCAAATTGGCCAGAATTAAGAAGATTTCTAACATCTGGCAATGCAAGGACTTTGGAAATGGACATTTTTAAATATTGCTGATAGAAGTTTGAATTGCTACACCTTTTATGCAAATTGTTTAGTAATATCCATTAAAATTTAAAATGCACACACCCTTTGCCCCAGGAAAGTGCTTATTGGAAACTATTTGATGAGGATAAAATGCTAAATACACTAGGACATATGTAAAGGGCTGCTTTGTTTATTATAGCAATAATATGAAAACAACCTGAATGTGAGATAATATGTAAGAGATAGTTACATAGAAATAAGGAACTGTGTATTTCCATATCTTGGCACTAAAGAGAATGACTTATGATTTATATATAATTTTGATATGCCTATGATATGTTAAGTGGAAAAAAAAGAAAGTAATATGTAAAATACAGAGGGTGCCAAACAAATGTATATCTATTTTCAAAAAGGAAAGAACTATTAAAATTGTAATACAATGAATGACGTTAGCATTCATTTGATTAACACCATCTCTTGAGCGAATGTCATACTACACATTGCTACCATAATTCAATTCAACTTCAAAAAGTAATACATAGATAACATCTCTTAAACAGTGTACATTTTTTGGCACCCCCGGTATATTACTGTAAGTTTGGCTACTTGAGGGAGGGTAGGGGAAATCATTAGCTTTTACTTTATACTCGTATGTATTTGTACTATTTGGGCAATCTAAAAATGTCCTAATAAAGTAGAAACAAGAGTTCAGAAGTCAGACCACGTTGTCCTTATCTAAAACATTCTAGGAAAAGGAGTTCTAGCCTGTACTTCAAGCCTTGTAGTCAGGAGATTCTGTGGCCTACTGTGGTCATTTTCCGGGCATGGAATAACATGTACTGAGGGGTATCCTCATTAAATCTGATCCACATTGTTCCAGCAGCCGAAACTTTCTGCATATAGATAATACAGAAAAGAGCTGATTCCATCTTTATATCAATTCTTTCAGTAAATATCAAGGGCTAATTTAACAGTTATTGAAGCCAGGCTTCAGTATTTTTCAAATTGGTCCGTTTCATTGCTCTACATCTAGAAAGGAATAGACTGTTTCATTTAGTCTAGACATGATTTGAACCATCTCTGCTGCTTTTCAGCCACCTTTATACTCACCCTTCCCACTGTTAAAATTTTATTTATCTTTAATTTAAACTCTTAAAAGTTTTGTGTCGGGAACCTTTTAAGAAGTGCTTAAATTTAATTTCACTTATTCCTAGTAATTTATTCATAAAGCACAGGGGTTCATTTAAACTTCTATTGTAATCCACTGGAAAAATCTAAAATGTTGATTTTTCTGAGTATTTTACCTATGGTGGAACTATTTTTAAAATGTATTTTTTTGTTTTCCTATATGAGAATATTGAAAGGGAATGCTTACCCTTGTTCTAAAAAATTTTTTTTTTTCAGTTGACCTTCAAATAATTATGAACCTCAGCAACCAGCATTAGTACCCATCAAGCTAAATTCCTGATTACTTTTATTTCCTTTTTTTTCTTTGATAAGAGTTATTTTGTTTTTTAGGAGGCAGGTGTTAAGGTGTTACGTGGAGCTACACTGAATTAGGTTCACATGAATTCTTTCCAGCATTTTACAAACTAAAGGGAAAGAATTAACATGTATAAAAGGAAATGAGCAGTGGTGGGGGATGGGGAGTGACTACTAGTAGGTAAGGAGGTTTCTTTTTGTGGTAATGAAAATGTTCTAAAATCGATTGTGTTGATGGTTGTACAACTCTGTATAAACCAAACACCATTAAATTGTAAATCATGTCTCAGTATTAAAAAAAGGAAATGAGAAGGCCTGGTGCACTTGTATTATTTGTGCCTGTATTTATGAAAACATTTTAAATTCTTGGCCCAAAGATAAATGCTAACAAGTCTGGTAACTGAACCTCTCTGGGCCATGACTGGGCCCTGGCTTAATTTTGTCGCATGCAAAGATTTGTTGCCCTTGTGTTTATAATCTCAAACAGGTACTAATTATATATGATTCTATGTAAAAGTGTACTCATTAAGCTTGTGTGCTAACATCTTAGAGATCATGCTCTAAGAAAGGATGGTGGCTCAAATTAAAAGAAGACAACTGAAAGGTTCAGCTTCTTTTTTGTTATAAAAATGGAGTGTCCTGATAGTTGTTAGACTGCTGCTTAACAAACGTCAGTATTGACTTATTCCACTGCAGATCTTCAGGCTTTTTGACATTTTTATTTATGACTCAATCATATTTCAACTTGGATATTAGTGGGAAGCTGCTACCAGGAAAAGCCTTTAAAGCCCAAATCATAATTTTCTCCTCGTCTTTTGGGCAGGTGTGCAGCAGATAGACAGTGGGTTTGGAGAGCAATTCAGGATGACCTGTCAGATGCTAAGTGCCAACTCCCACTTTAGAGTAGGAAATTGTCACCATTTGTAAGAATGATGGGTTGGAAAATTACCTTCTAAACTCTTATTTGCATTTTAGTAGTATCGTTTCTTAGTTTTGAGTTTTTACGTAGTACCAGAGCAAGATTCACTTATTCAGCTATAAGGATAAAAATCTCAGCTACATAAGAGTGATTTTGAGGTCATTATACACTCTCAGTGTTTTGGTAGCATAAACCAAGCCAATGTTATTTTTCTTTTCTTCAGCTGGTGTCATAGATGAAGATTACAGAGGAAATATTGGTGTTGTACTGTTTAATTTTGGCAAAGAAAAGTTTGAAGGTACGTTAAATATATAGACACATAAATGCAGTGAGTTTTCTGAGTTGTATATATCTAATACATGGTAACTCGTCTAATTCTCATTATAGAAAGCAGGATATAGAGAATGCATTAATAAAATATCAGTAATAAACTTTTTTTTCTTTTTGAAGTCAAAAAGGGTGACCGAATTGCACAGCTCATTTGTGAACGGATTTTTTATCCTGAAATAGAGGAAGTCCAAGTAAGTATCATAAAAACTGAGTAGGGAATGAATGATATGACATCTTCAGTGAAGGAAAAATAAAATTTTGAGGCTTTAATATGCTATTTGTAACTAAATAGTAGCATATATGACTAGTCCCATTTTAAACAAAATTAAAATCTTAGTTTTAGAATTTCTTGAAATGATTTTCATAGCTATCATAGCATTACTTTGGATGACAAATCATTTAAATATACTGTGAAATTCTATTTCCTTAGCTTTTTAACAAATTATCCAATATTTAAATTTATGGAACTTTTTTTAAAGTAACATTTTTTTGTTGCAGTCTCCTTTTTAAAAAGATGTTATAGCAAGATTAAAAGTCTTACCAATTAGGAGCTGGGGAGAAAGGATCTGAAATTAACTATATGGTTTACCACCTTTATGTCTTTTCAGGTTTTAGATGACACTAAAAGGGGTTCAGGAGGTTTTGGTTCCACTGGAAAGAATTAAAATTTATGTCAAGAATAGAAAATGAGAGACCATGCTTTTTTCCTTAAAAATAAATAATTTTTGTTTAGTGTTGTTTTGCACTTCTGTAAACTTAGTATCTTTAGCTTTTAAAAAATATCTGGTTCTCCTATGATCAAAGAAAGAGTACTTTGTTGGGATCACATAGAACTTTGCATTTTGGTGTTTTTCTACATTTGACTGTTGTATAAATCTGCATGGTAACCTAATACAGTTTTTTTGTGTTTTTTTTTAATCAAATATACATCAATTATAGATCCCACCAAACTGTATTTTTAATTCACTAACTGCTACCCCTTCAACAACTTATTTTTCAGTTGCTTTATAAATCATAAGCAAAGCTTTTCATTCAATAAATTTGAATTCTTTCACAGATAGAAATTATATAAACTGAACTAAAAGATAATAAAAAGCAGTTAGTTATATCTTGTTTTTTTCATTGGTCTAAAAAATTTTTTTAATCTTAAGATTTCTTTGAGGGTAGGAAGAAAAGAATCTTCAGTTTATGTTTTCATTTTTAGTTTTTCTTTTTTCTTTTTTTTAAAATCATCCTTTTGGTAGGCCCTAGGTTGATTGGGCAGAGTTTGTTTTGTGAAAGGAAATGTAACTTGGGAATTTCCAGTTGGTTTGTTCCTCTGAATTTCATTCCATCAAGTAAATTGTATGGGTTGTAGTTATGTGAGTGTCCCTCACTGAAGTAGTAATAATAGGCTGTATCCAAGAAATATGCAATTGAATCGGGATAAAATAGATGTAATGATGTATGCTTAGTTTAGGCCACTGGGTTTGTCCACCCTGTGTACTTTTGAGTAAATATGTTTAAGCAGCATTTCACTGCAGATAGGGGGCTGATTCTGTGGATGAGTTTGATTAACATCTATAGCAACATTCTAGGTGTGCTTTCCTTTACTGTACTTCTCAGACTCATTTGCACCTGGGCTGTCTTTGGGTGTTACTTAGGCTTTGTCAATCGATGCACTAGTGTGAGACTGATGAGGCATCTTTTTTTGTGAGTGTGGGTCATACAGACAGAGTGCTTCTAAAGTGGGCATCTCTCTTGGCTGCCCAGTTCCTAGAAGCACAGGCTAGAGTTCGATTCTTTCCCCCTTCCAGTGTTTCTCTAGGCCATTTAATACCCTGCGATGTAGTAGTTTCAATCTGTGGGTCACGATTCGTTAGTCATGAAATCAACTCAGTGAGTCATAATTGGCATTTAAAAAAATTGAGTAGAAAAACAGCAGAGGACAACATATGTCAAATGGGTAAATATTGTGAAGATTACTTGGATTACATATTTATGTATATATGTGTGAACTGAGTCGTGGTGTAAATTATTTCTGCAGTTCAATAAAAATTTGAATACTTTTTTGCTAAACTAGCTGGAGTGGATTCTGTTCTGTGAACCCTGACTATACATAGTAATAGTTGAGTAAGAAAACAGTATGATGTGACTAACAAGAGATGGTGTCTTAGCTCACACCCTGTTAATGTTAGTTACCACTATATTAAGCACTGAAAGTCCACTATATTAAGCACTTTTTTACAAACTGTTTCTTATATCATACCTGTCAGAGAGTAGATAAAAACACTTTATAGATAACAAAAATAGGCTCAGATATTTAGTAACTTGCTTAACATTTTAGCTAATATGACCACTGTTAAAACTTGCGTCCTATGGCTTCACAACCCATGTTCTTTGCTGTATCTTCAGCCTTTCAAGTGGGAAAGAATAAACAAGATGATTAATGAAAGTCCTAGTTCACACCTGGTATATGTTCACACCTGGGCATCCTTAAAGGAAGATGCGCAGATCTGAAGCTACTCTAAAGTTAATATCCATGAGGTTAGATGAAAGACCTGAGTTTTTGTTTGGAGAAGTATGTGTGCTGCAAATGGGAGGAATAAAGGGGGAGTGGGGAGCAGGAGACTGTCCCTTGGATATGACGTTCTTAGATCTTAAAGACTCAAGGGAAATTAGGCTTGTCACTTGTGACCTGAGTGACTGAAACTAGGATCACTAGATTTAACACTAGAAGATGTTGTCTGAGATAATAGAAAATAGTAAATATTGGTGTCTGCCCCTGGTTCCTGGCACAGAGCTCCTAAAACCCTTGTAGTTTCCTAAGTGATAACTCTGGGAGCATCTCTTTTTCTAATGTTGATCTTTGACCTCAGTTCCTGACAAAGCTCCTGAAATCCTTGTAGTTTTCTGGGTGATAAGAGTGACTTTTGCTCTAATGAGGTGACGGTGGGCTCCTGGATGAGGGCTGATCACCGGAAAGACCATGATTAGAAGTTTAGAATTTTCAGTCCACCTAAATCTCCAGAAGGGAGAAGGCTGAAGATGGAGTTAATGATGGATCCTGCCTGCATGATGAAGCCTCCATAAGGTTTCAAAAGTAGGGTTTGGAGAGCTGAGATGATGAGTACATGGAGGTGCTGGGAGAGGCACTCCCACACGGCTTGGAAGCTCCGCTCCTTCCCACATACCTTGCCCTACACATCTCTTCCACCTTGATGTTCATTGGTACCCTTGAGTAAACTGGCAAACTAAGTGTCAGTTCTGTGAGCTACTCTAGCAAATTGATCGAACCCGAGGGAGAGGGTCTTCGGGACCTCTAATCTGCAGCCAGTCAGAAGCACAGGCCATAACCTGGATTTGTGATTGCCATCTGAAGTTTGTGTGTGTGTGTGTGTGTGTGTGTGTGTGTGGTGGGGGAGCAGTCTTGAGACTGAACCCTTAACTTGTGGGATCTGAAACTATCTTCAAGTAGATAGTGTCAGAATTGAGTTACTGTAGGACACCCAGCTGGTATTGCAGAGAATCGCTTGGTGTGGGGAAAGACTTCACACATCTGGTGACCAGAGTGATGTGTTATGTGAAAAGTTGAGACTCAGGGAAGAAAGACAGGAAAGAACTGGGTTTTCTCCTACATAGGAAGGAAAACAGTTTCTCCTTTACAGTGGCATAAGGGCAGACTCCTGGAACTTTCCTAAAACAGCAAATTTAATGATAAAAGCAAAAAATATGCCATATGGAAGAGTAAGATATAGTCTGTTGGGTTGGGATTATTGGATACTAATTTTCTGTTGTTTATGCAAGGTTTAAACATAGTATTTTTACTTTGTTTTACTGTGAAATATTCATAAAAATATATTTAAAAGCTATGGTATAGTGAATAACTACAAAATAGAAACCCCTAAGGTAGTAGTCTGAACTGGTTTTTTAGGAGGTGAAAACCCTATGCTAATAAGGTTCCTGAGCCCATTTTAGCTAGATTCAGTTGGTAGGTAGCAAAGGGAAACGAGGGAGCAGCCCTTTACAGGGACAAGTTCTTCCCACTAGAAAGGAAAACAAAATTATTTTTACTGATGGCCAAAGAGAAGCATCATTTTTACATGTAGGGCTGCAACACTATCATTTTCAGATTCACTACAAATTGAATAGCAATTACCACTGTATCGGCTTAGTAACTTCCCAGGCAGAAACCAAGGCAGTTTTTCTCTTCACTGTTCTGCATCACACTCACCAATGATTTCCACTGTCACTTCTGTCCTTGGTACTGTATACATCAGAAGAGAAATAACCAGGGCAACTCCTACAAACTAATCTGAGGCTCCATCAGTTAATTTACCTTGGTGGCAGTCTGCAGAGGAAAACATACTAGCTCTTAAACGGCTGCCCTAGGTGGATAGAGGGGCCAAAACCCAAGATTTGGGTTTCAGAACACCTTCCCTAGACAGTACTTCCTGCCACATGACCATCTTCACCCTGGCAGAAGATATAAAATTATTTCCTTAAATTTATTTTCCATCTTATCAAGGAATGGTGGAAGGCTAGAGGGCTAAGACAATGCAGGCATCTGGAGTTTTATGAAGTGAATATATCAGAGTTTGGGATCAATGGGCCTTGGACATATTGACATAATTCCGTGATTATTGAGCCCAAGTTGTCGTATAGGGATTCTCAGTAGAGCTCCTACCCCAGTCCTTTTGTTTGTCCGCAAATCACCTTTGGTCCTATTTCTCATTTATCCTTTATCCCCCTTCCATCTTCAACTTAAGCAATGGTCCCTGTGAGGAGAGAACTAACTAATAGTTTGTACTTACCTCTGCTCCCAACTTTCTTTTCCTACTGCTAACCTCTACTGCATACCCATAAGGTAATGGTGATAGACTGTTAGTCACACGAACTGCAGATGACACAAAAGGATAGAAATTATGTCAGCCAAAAGTTAATAACAGTAGTAGTAATACAGATTCAGAAAACATCCCTGTAGATAGAGAAAGTGTGATAAAATCCATGCTAAGAGGCATGTAATCTTAGCAAAGATAATAATGTGATTGATCTTTGATCAGGCATTTAAAGCCATTTTTTCCCATTAGTGTAAAATATACTATTTTATGTAACTGATGTGATCCTTTCAGCTGAGAAATACTCTAGTATCATTATCCTAACAAAAGAGGTGACGTGGAAAGGAATAACTTCTCAAAAGTGAAAATAAAAGCTGCTGAAAAAACATCTCCATTTGGAGATGGATTAGGTACACACTGCTTTGACATTGCTCTTTTCCGTACTGAAAAGAGAATGAGAAAAAGAAATATAAATTAAACTGAAAGTTTCACTAGTGGAATCTTCCTAAGAAGTATGTGAAGAGGGCCGGCTGAGTGGCGCATTGGTTAAGAGCTGGCTTGGGACGCCAGTGGGCCCCGGTTCGGAGCCCACATATGAGGGCCAGTGACACTGCCCTCTACAGCTAAGATGCTGAACAACAGCTCAACCTGGAGCTGGGCTGCCGT